TAATGTTTTTGTATTTGACTGTTAGTCAATTGAGGTTTCAATTAATGTTTTTGTATTTGACTGTTAGTCAAATCTGAATCTAAAACAAGAAATCATCATTATAATCCTGATTCCACTACCCTAACATATACTCCCTCTGTATTCGTTTTGTTGTCGTTTTAACTATATTTACGAAAATTAAGAAAATGTTGAAAATGTTATAATACATCATATTGGACTTATAACCGGGCCCAATAAGCCCATCAGGGTTATTCATTATGTATTGTATCCCGATGTACTTCTATATATTCCCTTGGGGATCAATACAATAATTAGTTCTACAACACGTTATCAGCACGAGTTTGCTCTTAACAACCCTAAACCTGAAAAAACGGTATGATCACCAGAAAACGGTGCTCTTGCCACAAGCAAAGTTTGACTGGAAGGAACTCCGGTTCCAAGATTACAAATCTGTGGATGACTACAACTCCGAACTCTTTCGGATAGTTTCAATCATGAAACTATGTGGTGAAGAGGTGTCTGATAATGATCTCCTCGAGAAAACATTATCCACCTTCCATACCCAAAACATTGTGCTTCAGCAGCAATATCGTGCAATGAAACATACATTGTACGAAGATTTGTTATCTTGTTTGCTCTTGGCCGAGAAAAACAACGAGCTGTTAATGAGGAACAGTGCCCAGAGGCCCCCGGGATCGGCTCCAATACCAGATTCCCGCAAAGAATCCTACAATGTCCAGCGAGACAGATCCTCAGATCGTGGCCGTGGACATGGGAATGGACGTGGGAATGGACGTGGAAAGCGTGGACGCGGAAATGGACGTGGCAACCGACATAACCTCGGTTATGGTTCCGGTAAGGGCCGTGGTATCTCTAAACCAAACCGCCCTGCCCACCCAACCAATCAGTCTGCCTGCACCAGATGCGGAATGTTCAATCACTGGACAAAGAACTGTCGTACTCCCAAGTTTCATTGCGATTTGTATCAGAAACATGGGAAAGCACCTGCTGAAGCTAACATGGCCCAGCAAGTTGATGCTGACGACACCACCACCGAGCCGACCGATCCCATGGACTACGAGATCTCAGATCTCCTCGATTGATTCTATCATCTGAACAGTTGCTTATTTTGATTTTGTTTTTTTTTCATTTTGGGGATTTGTTTTATTTTTCACACTATCCTCAAAGACAAGAGTTATTTCATAAATTTAATCATGCAAACCGCGAATATTAGCACAATAGCGGGTACCTCGAACTTAATAGAAGGCCACGGCCAGGCCCATGTGTTGTTATCAAACGGCACACATCTGGACATTCCAGATGCATTATACTCACCCAGCTCAAAAAGAAACCTTTTAAGTTTTAAAGATATCAGACTTAATGGTTTCCACATAGAAACCCAGGGTGAAGGGAACAAAGAATCCCTACTGATCACTAAGATCACACTTAGCCATAAACAAGTCCTCGAGACTATACCCACATTCTCTACTAGCTTTTACTATGCTAAGATCAGTATGATTGAGGCTAATAATGCTCTCAAAGCCCGGTTCCAAGACTACACTATTTGGCACGACCGGCTTGGTCATCCCGGTACAACCATGATGCGTAAATTAATCCAAAGTTCTCAAGGACACACCCTTCGAGAAAACCGAGTCTTCCCTCAGCACCTCACGTGCACAGCTTGCTCCCAAGGGAAGTTGATCACCCGGCCTTCACCAGTAAAAGTGTCCAAAGAGACATTACATTTTCTGGAAAGAATCCAAGGAGACATCTGTGGTCCCATTCACCCACCTTCTGGGACATTCCGGTACTTCATGGTACTAATAGACGCTTCGACCCGTTGGTCGTATGTCTGCCTATTGTCTTCTCGGAACCAAGCTTTTGCTAGGTTGTTGGCTCAAATCATCAGATTACGAGCCCACTTTCCAGACTTCCCACTAAAGACTATACATCTTGATAATGCTGGTGAATTCACTTCCCAAGCGTTTAATGATTACTGTATGGCCATGGGGGTGACCGTTGAACATCCTGTGGCACATGTCCATACTCAGAATGGACTTGCTAAATCATTCATTAAACGAATCCAATGGATTGCTCGACCATTACTCATGAGGTCGAAGCTCCCGGTCTCAGCTTGGGGACATGCAGTATTACATGCTGCTGAATTAATACGCATCCGACCATCTAGTGAGCATAGATATTCCCCATCCCAATTATTAACGGGTCATGAGCCAGACATCTCCCATCTCAAAACATTTGGGTGCTCAGTCTATGTACCCATTGCTCCACCACATAGAACCAAAATGGGACCTCAAAGGAGGATGAGAATATATGTTGGTTTTGATTCTCCCACCATCATCAAATATCTCGAGCCGACCACTGGAGACCTATTTAAGGCCAGATATGCGGATTGCCAATTTGATAAATCGGTATATCCAACATTGGGTGGAGAGAAACACAAGCTGGTCAAAGAGCTATCATGGAATCAAACATCCTTAAATTGGCAAGATCCTCGGACTCTAGAATGTGATTCAGAGATCCAAAAGATTATACACTATCAAAAGCTAGCTAATCAATTGCCAGATTCCTTTACTGACCCGAACAAAGTAACCAAATCGTACATACCAGCTTGTAATGCACTAGTACGAATAACTGTCCCAACGGGACAAGTTCAAGTTGCTACAGAGTCTGCATCACGAAATAAACGTGGCAGACCTCTAGGTTCCAAAGACAAGAATCCACGGAAATCAAAGAAAGGTGCAATAGTTGAAACCGGGATTCCCAATATAACAGACATAGCCGCGGCTGAGACTCACTCTAATGAACCACCAGAAGAGGTTCGGGACGCCGAATCTCTAGGTTCTGAAGAGATCGATAACGATGAGATCTCTATCAATTACAACATGTCTGGAACCCAATGGAACAGAAAAGAAGTCGACCTGAATGCACTCTTTGCATACAAAGTAGCACTTGATATTGCGAACACGCAAGAGGATCTAGAACCCACGTCTATCACGCAGTGCACTCATAGAACAGACTGGCTAAAATGGAAAGAAGCCATAAACGTGGAGTTAAAGAGTCTCAAACTCAGGAATGTGTTTGGTCCGATCATCCGGACACCATTCAATGTCAAACCAATGGGCCATAAATGGGTCTTTGTGCGTAAGAGAAACGAACTCGGTGAAGTCGTTCGTTATAAAGCATGGCTTGTAGCACAAGGATTCTCACAGAGATCCGGAATCGATTATGAGGAGACTTATTCTCCGGTGGTGGATGCAACTACTTTTTGATTCCTCATAAGTCTGGCCATAAGAGAAAATATAGATTTGCGGTTAATGGATGTTGTCACCGCATATCTCTATGGGCCCCTGGACAATGAAATATACATGAGATTACCAGATGGCATAGAGCTTAAAGATAAGCATGCATCTCGAGATCAGTACTGCATCAGGCTGAACAAATCCTTGTATGGACTGAAACAAAGTGGACGTATGTGGTATAACCGGTTAAGTGAATATCTCATCAGAGAAGGCTACAAAAGCGATCCCATCAGTCCATGCATTTTCATCAAGAAATACTCAAACAAAGGATTTGTAATCATAGTAGTTTACGTGGATGATCTAAATATCCTCGGAACATCTGGTGAAATCTCCCAAACAGTCGACTGCTTGAAAGCAGAATTCGAAATGAAAGACCTAGGTAAAACTAAATTCTGTTTGGGTTTACAACTTGAGTACGTCAAAGGAGGAATCCTTGTGCATCAAGCGGCTTATACTGAAAAAGTACTCAAGCGATTTAACATGGACCAGGCCCACCCATTGACCAGCCCAATGGTTATTCGGAGCCTAGGATTGGATAGTGATCCACTCGGTCCCAAGAAGGACGATGAAGAAATTCTCGGTCCAAAAAAGCCATACCTCAGTGCTGTAGGAGCGTTAATGTACCTGGCTAGTCACACTAGACCAGACATTTGCTTTGCCGTGAACCTCCTAGCTCGCTTCAGCTCATGTCCAACTCAGAGGCACTGGAACGGTATCAAACACCTCCTAAGATACCTTCAAGGTACTAAAGACTTAGGACTGTTTTACACTAACCACAACAAGGATGGACTAGTTGGCTTTGCTGATGCAGGATATCTATCAGATCCGCACACTGCCAAGTCTCAAACTGGTTATGTGTTCACGCATGGAGGAACAGCTATCTCTTGGAGATCGATGAAGCAGACAATCACTGCCACTTCATCAAACCATGCAGAACTTTTGGCCATTCACGAAGCCAGCAGAGAATGTGTTTGGCTACGATCCATGACTCAGCACATCCGGTCAGATTGTGGTATGGACGAAGACAAGGAGCCTACGGTGTTGTATGAAGACAATGCGACATGTATCGCTCAACTCAAGGAAGGTTATATCAAAGGAGATCGGACGAAGCACATTCTACCGAAATTCTTCTCAACCTCGGATTGGCAGAAGGATGGTACGATCAGCGTTCAACAGGTCCGATCAAGCGAGAACTCCGCCGACCTTTTCACCAAATCATTGCCCGCTTCAACACTCCGGAAGCTCATCCAACAAATAGGAATGCGTAGACTTAGAGATCTACAGTGATGCTCTAATCAGGGGGAGTAATGCGTGTTGTACTCTTTTTCCTTCACCATGGTTTTTCCCACTGGGTTTTCCTGTTAAGGTTTTAATGAGGCAAAATTCCCCAGCGCATTATCGAGATCCCGATTGACCATCAGGACCGGTTACTCTGTCCAAGGGGGAGTGTTATAATACATCATATTGGACTTATAACCGGGCCCAATAAGCCCATCGGGGTTATTCATTATGTATTGTATCCCGATGTACTTCTATATATTCCCTTGGGGATCAATACAATAATTAGTTCTACAACAGAAAAAGACTTATTTAATCTCACCTAAACGTGGACTGATTAATTATGACTCAATTAATTAGGGTTAATTTAGGAAGTTTTAGGTAAAAGTTGAATTGAGATGTGAAAACGACATCTAATTATTAACAAGAAAAAATGTGTAGAACGACAATTATAGGAATACGGAGGGAGTATAAGATTTCGATTTCAGAAGAAAGATTTTACTGGGATTGAGTGAAGTAAGAGCAACATTATTGTTGAAATTGCAAGCCTCGTCCTCTTCGCCGTTCTTCAGAGAATATTTGTTGAAAACAAATGACGCCATTTTCTGAATATCCGTCGGGTCGTTACAAGGTCCACCTTGCTGAATCGGACCACAATCAGCGCCGCCTTGTCCACAAGCCCACTCAATCGCCGTATGTAGCGACGAATCAACCGCGTTGTTCTTCGCCCCACACCATAACCGCGTCGCGTCGATCGGCTTCGCGAGAGAGAGAAACAATCGGGATTGGTTTTTTTTGCATAAAGGAAAAATAATAGGGTAAATTGCAGGCTAGACCAGAAGACCAAGTTTAATTTTCACGGTTTGGCAAAGTGAGATTTGCTTCTCACGTTTTGGCAATTAAGCCAAATTCTGACCAAAATACCCCTGCCAGCGTAACGACGTACTGTTCCGTGTACAATTCAGTTATGTGGTTCAGTTAGGTACAATGTTTCTGGTTGGGTTCAGATATTTTCGTTTTTAATTCTTTTTTGCGGCTGTACAGTGAAAATGGGGGCTTAATAGTAGCTCCACTTTTTTCGATATTATCTTCTCTCGTCTTCTTCCCCAAAACTTTCATCGTAAATCCATATTTTCTATCTTTTTCTTTTTTACTGGGATTTTTCTAAATTAATCTTGCAATTGATTTGTAGATTCATCAAATTCTCGTTCACCTCTATCTATTGATATCAATTTTGATCTATTTCGTTTATCAAAAAAAAATCTAGGGTTAGGGTTGTTGATCTCCTCTCTAGTTGTTTAATATCTTGATCCATCGTTTTCTTTCGCTATTTACATCGATTTTCTTAAATATTCCTCTCTAGTCACCCATCTTAGTACAGTTCGAATACCAACTAGTTTAGCTATTGTGACTGAGGGTAGGTTCAAGTCAGAGGCTGCAAGGGAGGAGTTGTACGCCGAGCAGCTTTCACTGGTGAAGTTGAGAACAACTGGAGATGATTCGTTGATGCTACAGAGAAACTTCATGTATTCATTGGAACCTACATTTGCAGCAACACTTCATATCAGTTGTTGATCTCTTAGTATCAGCGAAATCATTTCTCCTTTTTATGCTCAATGGGTTTAATAAAGCACTTACCTATGTCGAAAATCAAACCAGGGTCAAGAGCTGCAGCTGCATTGACGAATCCGCTACCCATATCGAAAGGTGTTGCAGGGGACTGAATAATGTCGGGGTTTAAGATAGTGCGTTGTGCCATTATATGCTCACCCTTTCTGTCTGATAGAGAAGCTGTTGTTGAAAGTGCGGATGCAATGGCTGCATGAGTGAAATGTAGGAACTTTTACTTGATGAGCGCCGAAATACCCATTACATGTGGAGCAGACATGCTTGTCCCCGATTCCATTGCAAATCGTTCACCTAAACACCGCCAATTCAAGAGCTCAAAAAGACTACCAGAAACACAAAATGGGTAATCTTATAAAGAGAAATGAGGATATGTGTACCTTGAAAATCGGTTGTATCAATGCCAAGAGGACTCCAAGCGCCCCATATCGCATTTCCGGGAGCTATTAAGTTGGGTTTCATTATATCAGCATCAACGAAAGAATCATCTTCTGGGTCAGGTCCTCTAGCAGAGAAATACATGACCTTGGGAGCAGTAATGCCATAGGTAGGCTTCATTCCACCAACAATTCTAGCAATTGATGCAGACCCAACTATTTTGCCTGAACCATTTTCCCTCAACAGAGAAGAATTGTAATACCGGAGTTTAGACATGACTGTTGCCCACTTTAATTAATACAAACTCATAATTACCTCTTCTAATATTTGTTTATACATATGAATAATTTTAAGAGATAAACAAGAAAAAACAAACAAAAAAATTTATATGAACGAATGTGATGCTGGAGAAGTTTTGATTTTGTTGTTTTACAAAGTTTGGAGACAAGAAAAGCGACGAAGAGAGTGATAGGTATGATGATCATCAAGGCGACGATAGATCTATGGGGGGAAGTACCCTAGATCCTACTATAGATGGTAGTGAAGGTAGTGGCGAAGATTACGATTACAACAAGTGGAATGATGTAATTGTAGAAGAATATAGAATTGAGAATGTTGAGGAGGACGTCATTCTCACTCAACAGACTGTTGAACATTCAGGGGAATTCAGTCATCTATTTGCAGAGTGTACGTACACAAGTCAGCGTGTACCTGACAGAGATAACATTTCTCATTTGGGTGACCGTACACCAACCGTGACTCCAACACGTACGTGTCGACATGGTTTGTACCAATGTACGTACACTAGTTATTGTGTACAAGATACAGGTTGCGAAGGTGATTTTGTTACGTACACGGATACCAATATTAATGGTATAGACGAAGTTACATGGTTGTGAGGCGAAGATCCTTCGAATCCACTGGTCATCGAATTTGGTTAGAAACTAGGACTTAACTGAATAAATTTCCTATGTTATTTTAAACTGCGTTTCAACATTTCCTTGTTTTCTCGCAGGTTCCCAAATTCGGCCAATCCCATCCGTTGATTTTCTCAACTTCTACAAGGCCGTCTTGGAGAGGCCAGTTAATTGGAATTCTTTTACTTTGGAAAGAATTCACGGTGCCGGATTTTCTGTCAGAATGAGCCTCACTCACCCCGTCGACCCTCCTCCTCCTGCGATTGATCTCTCGAGTCTGAATGCCCGAGATAGGAGAAAGATCAAAGAGGCAAACAAAAAGGTCAAAGATCAGATTTCCCTAGTCGGGAGAAATAAGAAAAATGCAACTTCCACCGGGGACGACAAAGTCTACCGGAAAACTCTCCTACTTGACGATGGATCTCTTGAAGGTTCAAAGTCAATGGCGGTTGCTATGAGCAATGCTCCTCCCTCCACCCCAGCAGCAGACAACGTGGTCGCTGCCACTGCTGAAGAGGAAGGCCTTACAGGTGATTCTTCTCTCATGAAGAAGAGGAAGGCCGAGGAACTTGAACCCCTGCTCCAGGGACGTCCCAAGAACACAAGGAAGGCCAGAGCCGCTCCTTCGAATCTGTCAATTCTTGAACCTGCTGAAGCTCAGGATGTAAATCCTGATTCAGGAATTGTTTTAAAGGAACCGCTGGCTTCAGGGATGTTACCCCCTAGACGTCCCCGAGGCAATACCTCTAGGGTTCGATCGTCTCCAAGCTCAGGACTTGTTGCCAGAGCTTCATCCCAATCAGGTAACCTTTAACTATCATTTTGTTACTTGAGATTAGTCCACTTTTTAAGAAGCTCAATCCTCACATAACTATCTTTATTCTAGATAAAGAGAAGATTGGGAATATGTTTAGGTGCTTCCACACCCGCTTTGGGAAGAAACTCCCGTCCTTTGAGTGGTGGAAGCCTGATATCAAGAAGATGTATATCAGTCATTCATTCCACTCCTCCCAGGTTTGACTATTTGCATCCTTAAACAACCGATTTCGAAATTTTTTTTTTTAATGCATCTTCTTTCATTTGGCAACTCTGGACGTGAATGGCATCATCAACCATTACGAAGAGGAGCTTGCCAAAGTTTCCAAGAAAGCTGTTGTTGCTGAAGGAGAGATTGAGAAACTGCAATCTTCCAGCCGGCTTGTGCAGGAGACTGCTGGCCTCGACTCGGCTCGCCAGGAAGAAATCGAGCGACTCGAGAGATCTGGCGAGGAGACAAGGAAGATTTTGATTGAGACAGCGCAAAGGCTAGAGACTGCCCTTGCTGATCATAACTTCGCAAAAGGCGAGATCGAGCTTCTGAGATCAGAGCTTAACAGGGTTAAAACAGCTGCTGAGGAGCTCGAACGCAAAAATGAGTCTCTTTCCGAACTAAAAGATCGAGATGTTCGCAAAATATCTCATGATGCTTGGAAGGAGGTTAAGGGAGCTGGGCAAAAGTTTCTTCTTGCTGTGCAGGAATTTATCACTTCAGATAAAGCTTGGAACAAACTTAACTCCGAACGTGATGAGATGAAGAGCAATCTCGATCTGATCAAGGAGATAGAGGACGGAACAGTCAACTTGGCTGAAGAAAAGGAGACAGTTGGCGCTGAGCTCGCTGAAACTGAAGCTAAGCTAGCTACTGCTCCTCAGCCATATTTGAATTTGCAGCAGTTTGCTTCTGAGTTCGCTGATTCCCCTCCACTGACTGAACCAAATATTGGTTTGTCTCTGGACGAGATGATGTTAACTGGTTCTCCTCGCGCTCATTTTAATGAGTTCGGAACCAATGTTGACAGAATCTCCCCGGGACGAGCTCAGGGGTTCTCTGGTCAGGATCCTGCCATCTCCTCGATTATGGGAGACGACTTTGAATCGAGGAGCGAACCCCCTCAAGATGTTAGCTCGCTTAACCCTGAGGTGGTTCCCACAACTCAAGACGCTGACGTCGGGGGTGCTCTTGTCTCAAGCCAAGTAGGAGATGAAGGCGGTTCGCCTATGAATGAATGATGGTGATTGCATTCACCTTTTATGGGGATTGTCCCTTTAATTTTAAGACATGAAATTCGCTCTGTTGGCCATGGGGCTGTTTATTTCTTTTTCGAGTTTTCTGCCCAAGGGGGCTTTTATTACTGTTTTGAATAATTTGCCCAAGGGGGTTTTCAATTAAAATTTCTTTAGAAAGACATATTTAATTTTGGTGGAAACTATCGATTTTACCTGGAGGGTTTGCAAAGTCCTCCTAACCGAAATGGTTTTAGAATTATAGGAGAGATAGGCTGATCAGACCCACTTGCCTTTTTTAAAGAAAAAACATTGAAATTTTTCCTCGGTCTCTCGGTTGCGAGGTTAGAGCTCGGCTTACAAGAAAACTTTGCGATACTTCAAATGTGTTCGATTAGGGAAATCTCCAGTGAGAGCTGTTTGCTTTCTCTAAAAAGATAAAAAGGTGTGATACCATTTATTGATTGTCTTCGAATTTCGAGTTCGAAATTAAGTTCGCCTACTAGGTGTTAAGTGATACTTGAATAACCTATATTTCGTAGGTCTTGTTTGTGCATGTACATGAAAATCGAAAGGTTATAACTGTCAGATCAATAGATTGACGTTTAACTTCCCTTTTCAATAAATACTCGAGTGAGTGCCTTTATATATTTTTTTTTTCTATATAAGGAGAGTTGGATTTTGGAAAATTTCCAATAGATATATTTTTTTTTTATAAGGAGAATAAGATTTTGGAAATCTCCGAATAAACCTTTTCTTCACAAGGAACTTTGTAGTTCTCTTTTTCTGAATTTCCGGTTTAACATGGCTTCTCTCCAAGGCGAACCTTCTGATCCTAACCCGCCACGATTCCCTTCGAATGAATCCCTATTTCTGACGGGGGACGGATTCACTCCACACGGGGTGGCTATTCCTTATTTTCTTTCTTCCATGTCTAAGGAAGAAAAGGTCAAGTGTCATGAATTCATGGAACAGGTTTGAACCCAATACCAGTTGTTTCAGGGTTTTACCCAATAGATTTGTAATGCACCTGTTCTTTGCAGATCACCGAAAGGTACGTTTTTCTCTGCTCCGAAAGGCAACGCCTTGGAAGGAAACGCCGTGTCCTTGAGGACAGGATTGCTAGAACTGAAAGGAAAATCCGACGTTTGGAGTCGGATGTTCATAACTGGGAGAGGAGGGGATTTGACTCTATCGCTCGAATTCCCGGCTGCCTTCGAGAACACATCAGGTTTCTGAAGAAGCATTCGGACATCTACCAAAAGAGCCTCGAACCCGACGAACGTGAAAATGGTTCGTCTTCTGACGAAGTTCCTTCTGCGAACTCTCCACCCTCTTAGTTACTATTATTATTTTGTAACAGACTATTGGGCTAGAAGCCCGGCGATATTAATTACATTCCCCTTTTTGCTTTAATTTTGCCGATTTACTTAAATCTTATTTAATGCACTAATTTAGGGAATATAATTAGCAATTAACTCGATTACATTTTCCACGAAGAAAGTAAGTTCAGATTTTGGGAAATCGTTAATTGACCCTCTTAAATGTGATTGAATGTATTTTGAGTATAAAGTGGGTGTAGTTTATTATTGAGTTTTATCAACAATAATTCTACAAAAATGTTCGAGGAAGGTAATTCTTCAGAGAATCCTTCCGACTCGTTCAAAGTGATGAGTGTTGATCTTCCGGGAACGTCAGATATCGAGCTTACAAAAGCGGGAACCAGCATTCAGGTTCCGATCGTATTAATCGAGAGATTGTCAGCTCAAGATCGTGTCAAGGCCGAGGAGTTTATTACCAATGTATTATTCATCCTAGTGATTTAACTCTTTTTGTTATTGCTAAACGAAGTGTTTTATTTTCTTCAGCTTATCATTCAGCACGATGAGCTCGAAGATGAGAAAAAAGAGATTAGGAAAAGGATAATGGAACTAGAGAAGCGTCGCCTCGATATTGCTCGTGAGCTTCATCGCCTCGAAGCCCATCCTTCCGATTGGATCGAACTAGAACTTCAGGAGTACGGAAACATGCCAGGTTGTATTATGAGCATCGTTGACCTCGCAGGTCAAGGAGCAGAGCTATTCCGTAATTCAAGACCCTTCAAGATCTGGTCTTAGCTAGAAATATTTATTTATACATTGTTCGCAACGTATTTTTATATTCATGCTCGAATATCGAATTTATAAAAACAAGACTCCATGACTGGAATAATATTTTTATTTTTATAGCTGACTCGTGTTAGTGAGCTGCCTACGTACCCAA